ATTTTAATTAAATAGAATAAAAGAATTACGTTTGTTATTTATTTTTGCAGTAGTTTAGATGAAGAAGAAGATGAAAGACAAGTTGAAGAAGCAGAGGCGTTTGAAGCTTCTTACAACTTTAGGTAATTATAATTATAATTATAATTATAATTATAATTATTTATTTATTTATTTATCTATTTATTTTATTTATTTGTTTTATTTCTCTTCATGTATATCTTTTTGTTTGTTTGTTTGTTGATTTTTAATTTGTTTTTATATATTTTTATTCGTTTGTTTATTTCTTTTTATATTTCTTTTATTTGTTTATTTATCTTTTTTTTATATTCTGTGTATTTGTTTATTTATCTATTTTCTTTTGATTTTCTTTTTTATTTATTTATCGTTGCTCTCTGTCTTCTGTCAGTAATTTATTTTTATGTTTTTTCTTCTTCTTTCTTTTTTTAATTTATTTATGCTGTCCCCAATTGATTGTTTAAATAATTAAATTATTTTCTTGCTGTTGTCTCTCTTTATTTTTCTTCGTTTTGTTTGTTTGTATATTCTCTCTGTTGTTTATTTTATTGTGTTGAAGCCGCTGTTTTTATTTATTTACTTTTGCTGCCTCTTTATTTATTTTTTTAATATTTCTTTATTAATATATGCATTTGTTTATTTGTTATTATATATTTCTGCGTCTTAGTTCTTTTTTTTGTGTTTATTAATATTATTTATTTATTTATTTATTTATTTATTTATTATTACTATTATATTATAACAATTATTTTTAATTCTTTTATTTTATTATTCTTATTCTTAGATTTGAAGAAGAAGACGGAGGCATCATTCATACATATCCTCGCGATGTTGCTTCACTTCGCCAAACAAATGATAAAAGAAAGAAAGAGAGAGAAAGAAAAAAACAAAGAAAAGAAGAAGAGATGGTGAATATACATAAAACACTATCAACATCAAACACACAAATCCTAAAGCAAGGGTTTAGGGTTTAGGGTTTAGGGTTTAGGGTTTAATATTTCGGGTTTAGGGTTTAGGGTCTAATATTTCGGGTTTGGGGTTTAGGGTTTAGTGTCTAGGGTTTGATGTTTAGGTTTTGGGGTTTAGGGTTTTAGGGTTTAGGGTTTAGGGTTTAGGGTTTAGGGGTTGTTTTCTGTTTCAGGTGCAACGGCGAGAGGAACTGAAGCGATTAAAAAATATTAAAAAAGAAGAAATCCAGCAAAAACTAAGAATGATTCGAGATATAGGAGGCTTAGATGCCGCCAGTGAGGCGCGGGGGTTTAGGGTTTAGGGTTTAGGGTTTAGGGTTTGCGGCATCATACATAGGCAATATGCGTGGCGTAGGTATAACAAATATACTTCATTGTCTCTGTTGTTTAGGGTTTAGGGTTTAGGGTTTATAAGATTAACTATGTTTTATAACACTTCTACAATATTTAGTTTATGTTTCTGTAGAACTGCTGCTGCTGCTGCTGCTGCTGCAATTTCTGCTTGCTTTGCTTCTGCTGCTGCTGCTGCTGCTGTTGCTATTGTTGCTGTTTCTTGTACAACCCCGATCCATTTCCTTCTTCTACTGCTTCTGCTGCTGCTGTTTCTGCTGTTTCTGCTGCTGCTGCTGCTGCTGCTGCTGCTGCTGCAGCTGTGAGTGCGGTATTAGACTTAGGAGGCGACTTTGACGCAAAGGCACATGATGAAGAGATGGAGAAATTGTTTGGAGAGGAATATCAACAGCAAAAAGAACAAGATGCGCCGCTCGGTATATCTTTTTATTTAATTTCTTTGTTTATATTCGTATTAGTATATGAATATAAATAATATATATATATACACTATGTATGTATATTTGTATATATATATATATATACAAATATACATATATATATAAACAGAAACATATATATATATATATATTGTATATATATGTATATGTTTCTGTTTATATATATGAAATATAATATATATATATATATATGCATATATATGTACCTATATGTATTAGATATGAATATGTATATTTATGTATATATGCATCTATCTATCTATCTATATATATATGTGTATGTATATAAGGATCTACTGCTGTTGCTGCTGGAGTTGCTGCCGCTCTTGTGCGGATTAGCGGCCTGTGCAGCAGCAGCAGCAGCAACAGGAACAGCAGCAAGAGCAGCAGGAGCAGCAGCAGGAGCAACAGTGTAGCCGCAGTGTTGCTGCAATTAATATTTTAATTGTTTTGAGGTGTATATACACCTGAATGTGCTGCAGAGGTGCCAGCATCTTGTGAGGAGTTTCTTTCAACTGCACATGAGACAGATATAACTCAAATGACTAAGAAACAAAAGCGGTTGATGAAAATGCAGAAAAGAAGACTAAGACAAGCGGAAGCAGTAGAGGGATATGCTTCAGACGAAGACACACAGCAGCAGCAGCAGCAGCAGCAGCAGCAGCAGGGAGAAGAGGAGGCAGCCACAGACGCGGACGCAACAGCAACCTCCGAAGCAGCAGCAGCAGCAGAAGAGCAGCAGCAGCAGCAAGAAGGAGAGGAGACAGAGCCACAGGCGGAATGGTGGATGTGTGATGGCTGTGGGAAAGGAATTCGAGGAGGAAAGAAGAGGTACTAAACCCTAAACCCTAAACCCTAAACCCTAAACCCTAAACCCTTGTTTGCTGCTGAGCCTCATGGCATATTGTATGTAATATAATTATTCTGTCTCTCTCGTTGCGCAGCACTTGAATAATAAATAATAATTAATAATAATTAATAATAAATAATAATGAACAATTATTTTCTGCTTTTTTGTGTAGTATTTAATTTTTAGGTTTGACGGCACCGCCTCTGCAGATTTTTGCATGCGTCTTTCTTTGTTCTTTCTATTAATATATGTTGTATATAATATATATAATATATATAATATATATATGTATTTATTTATTTATTAATATTATTATTAATTATTTAGTTTGATGTTTTTGTTTAGGTTTGACTGCACGACTTGTGAAAACTTCACTTTGTGCAAATTTTGTTTTCGTAATATTCGTCATCCGCATCAACTCCAACGCAAAACAACTCCAATTCATTGCAATGTTAGCTTTTCTCTTGCTGCTGCTGCTGAGGCTGCTGCTGAGGCTGCTGCTGCTGCTGCTGCTGCTG